GTTTTACATTTACACTTTACCACTTCGGAGATGTACCTGCTTTATATCAGACAGGTGATTCCACCTTGAAATTACCTGTGAAATCCTCCGGGCTTTAGGGGGTAAATGTTATCATCCTTGACCTGTTCTGTTTTTGTTTTAAACAACCTAAAATAAAACTCAATCCAGCCACCCCCGTCCATCTTGTTTTGCTACATCTATTCCTCGAACTGTTTGAGGTTATGTGCAGGAAGATGGTGTGTTCGTTTTTTGTACCTTTGTTATGGCAACAATTATGTATAAATAAGTAATTTTGAGGGAACAAACAAGTCATTTGTACGGACGCTTTATCTTCCCTCCTCTGTGTCATTTCTATTTAGATGTTACATTTTACACTGTTGAAGTTTCATATCATCAAGATACAAACAGATGAAGTAATAGAGATTGTAGTTTGGTAAGTCTGTATTAAATCTATGAAGTTTATTTTTTAGCATTCAGGTCAGAGGGTTAAAACCTCTGCAGAAGCTTCAGCTTTTTGTTTCTGCATCATGGAAGGTTTTTAGCTCTTTTGTTGCTCACTGTAATTCTCTTAAAGCCTTTCCCCCTCTTCTGTGCTTGTGTCTTGAGTAACTATTTGGCATCTGTTGCCAGAAATTTGCAGCTATTTAGTAGAAATGTGCTGCGTCTGCACTACTCTCCTGTTTGGCAGGAGTTCAACTTCAGCTGTTATCCAAGTCCTTTGTGCCAAACCTTGTTTTTTATGCTCCATAGTTCCCTATAACATGTCGCAGATGGCAAACATTCACAAGATGATTAAACTTCCAACTGAAGAGGTCATTTTTTTTTTCCATAGCTTTCTTTAAAACCTTTGTACTAAAATTTAAAGTAGCAAAATGCATATATCTATGGGTTCCATCAGTGATTACAGTGAAGACGGCTTCTTGTGCCAGAAGCTGATGCTACAATACTCTCTGCAACACAATTGGCACATTTCCTCCCATCTGTGCCACCTGGGAGGAAATGTGCACATTCTATGTGATTTTAGTAACTGATGCAATAAGATGCTCTAGGTGCTATAGTTTAGCTCCTATAGCTGGGAAAACGTAATTTTAGAGTTATTTATTGTCATTATTTTAGTAGATTGCTTCAGCTTTCCTTTTACTGGTTAGCTTCCTGTTGACAGAACTAAATAAGATGCGGCATGCCGTAGAAGATTCAACATCACTTTTTCTAGACCTGCCATAGTCGTGTGTATGTGTATATTTTCCTTGGCTTGTCTTTACAGAAAGGGGTGGAGCTATAGGGGAGGAGCATAGTCACTCCTAGCCAATCATCTGGAGCTGATTGGTTATGGGTGACGTCCAGCTGTGTTTGATCAAACTGATTGGACTTGATTAGGAAAGGCACACAGCTTTCTATATAAGACCTTACAGCTCACTAGTGATGGTGAAATTAGGCCTCATGAGGCATTTGAACCTTTTGGCCAAATTGCTTCAACAATCTACACAGTTCATGAAACCTCATGTGAACATGTCACCACCTACTGGTGGAGTGCAGAACTACAGATAGTATTATAATTGTGATTGTAATAAAAGCAGTGGTCCGGCTTTGGACCCCAGGTTTCCCTTCTTAGATGTTGGTCTAGATTTTGCTCCATAAATAAATCCATTAGAAGACAACTTAATACCCAACAATCCCACTGCTCTGTGTAAAAGAAAAAAAAACCCTTTTACCTTCATGTGCGGTGACACGTGGTGAATCCACAGTCGTAGGGAAGCGACCCTCTGCAGAGGGCTTATTTTCTCCTTACATGCTGCAGGATTTCTCCCTATATGTATGGATCCCTGCAAACAGTAGGTAATAAATCACACGGTCCAGATTCATATAGTAGAAATGTTTTAAACTGAGTGGCCCTATTCATTAGAAATCCTGAGTTTTGTCACAGCAAGCTCAGAGGAGTTAATACGATATTATATATATTATAAGATAGGGGTAACTAATTAAAAATAATATAAAGAATAAAGAAAATCATCAACCAGCAAAGGTCCAGAGACATTTTTAATTATAATCTGTTACTTTAAACAGAATTTAACAAAAATAAAAAGCAGGTTTTTATGCATCCATGTTATACATTGAATAAAAAATAAATAAAATAAATTTTTCCATTTAAAATCTAAAATGTTTTTTGAAATGGAGAAAAACAATCAATTCAATTTCAATTCAGTTTATTAATATAGCGCCAAATTCACAACACATGTCATCTCAAGGCACTTTACAGTTCAACAAGATCATACAGTCAAATTGATTCAAAGTTTTCTATCCTCAATCCTTCAGTTTCTTTACCATATTAACAAGAGAAGCATTTGCAAGGAAAATTAGACACTGCCGTCGGTCAACATGCAGTAATTTATAAATGTTTTAAATCAGGTTGGTTCCGGATTAGCCAGCAGGTGGGTCCGGATCCGGAGCATGGTCCGCTAATCCGTGACCTCTGCTATAAGATAATGAGAAAAGGTCTGCAGGAGGTTTTAGCAATCAGCAAACCTAAAATAACCAACAAAAAAATAACATATAATTTGAAAGCTTCCATCTAATAACTAATAATCCTGACTTCATTAAAGCTCAATCGGTGTGAAACAGAACACCAGTTTTCTGCAGGTCTGATACAAAGTAAGCTGTGAGTTGCTTTTTGGTCGTGTTTTGCCTCCTGGGTCACTTGGACGAGGAGAAATTTATGGTGAAACATGGTTTTCACCACTTCCTGGTAGCGCCCCGAACACTGGAACATTCAAAAGTGTAGAAATGAGTCTGTGACCAAAGTCATCAGTGTGTTTAGAAACAGTAAGCTTCTAGAGACATTGAAATAAAGCATAAACATCATGCATCATCATTTAAGAGGAGAAACCTGATTTTAGGTCCCCACTTAGAGTGGTCAATGATAATTAGCACTGATGGCAGGAAGGGTTATTTTCTTTTAGGATACTTGGAGTTTTTTTTAACTATTTATTTTCAAGAATTTTCACAACAAAAGAACATTCCCTTAACCGAGAGGAATGAAATCAATAACAGAAATACTGATGCCACATATACAATATTTCAACATAAATGCAGCACAATAAACCAGATCACCTGGAACTTTGAATACCTTAAAAGAGAAAACTGCACATACACACTACCATACAGTATGTATATAATATACATACACACAAACCCACACCCCTCCCCTTCCCCTCCAGGGTGCTCACCCACAGGACAAAAATACGGAGTTCAGGTATTTTTAAGCTTTTTAAAGCTATTTGGAGCTTATTTTCTTTAAGTTTTTGATACTTATTCCCAGTGTCTCTGTGGAACATTTTTTCCCATTATTGCTGCAAAAGCATGTTTTAAATTTGGGGAAAAATGCAAAGTAACAGCAATTTTCTCAGTTCTTATTTGTTCACAAAAATTTGTTCACTTCTATTCTATTTTTCAGATTGAGTTTAAGTCTTGCGTTGTTTTTAAATTGCGTTTCCCTAGGTAAACTCAAGCGATCGGCGCCTTTGCATTGTCGTCAAAGTCTCACACAGGAAAAAGATGCCTGACATGTTGCTAAACACTTTATTGGGAGGAAAAAAAGGTTTCCAAGTTGGCAACGGTGTCATCTGTTCGGTTTGTTTCTCAATAGCCTGATCTGATCCTTAAGGCTGATTTATGCTCAGAAACCAGGTGGCCTGCATGTGTGTCTCAGTGAATGCAGATGTTCCTCCGCCCTTTCCGCAGACAGAGGAGGCTTCTGATTGGTCAACTCTACACTATGTGTATTTCCTGTTTGGTACCTTACCAGCTTGTTTTGTTTCTATGACCGCCATTGTGGAAAATGACTCGTGAAGATGGACCATCAAGAAGAGCGAGGTGCGCGAGAACGCCGGGACCCTTTACCAGGGGCGGGTTTAGGAAATTTGGGGCCCTAGGCAAAGACAGGCCGGGGGCCCTCTGAATTAAGAAGACAACACATAAAACAGACCCATTATACAGATACAGAAATTTTAATATAATAGACAGACATTATTTGTTCTAGGTTTTGTCCCTCTCTTGGTGTTGTTTTCCTCTCTCTGTTTTCTACTCAGCTGACTTTTCATGTCATCTCAAAAGGAATGAAACTAACCTCACTTAGCTTATTGCTCCTTCCAAAAAGGCGACAGCAAAAGTAAATAACCCAGTCCTTCTTTCCACCGTACACAAGCCATGATCTGCTAATCTGTTCTCCATTTTTCATTTGTATGAAATAATAGCTGCATGAATCATGACAGCAGACAATATAGAGGAGAGCAGGAGGCGGGGTTACCAATCTACTTGCTCTGGAGAGCAGAGCTCGCTGCTTTTATATCTTGTTGCCAAAGTCTCCACTAGAAGGAAAAAAGCCACTAGATATGGCGCTAGGTGTTTTTTTTTAAATAAAAGCGCTAGAGGGTTCTGAAATACACCTGTGCCTGAGACACACTTAATATTATAAGCATTCTGATATTGTTTTAATGAAAGGATTTTTATCAAAAACATAATTAATGTGCACAAATAAGTAATAGCTGTATGGAAAAGGAGTTTTATGGGGCCCCCAGGAACTTGGGGCCCTAGGCAACTGCCTAGGTTTGCCTAATGGTAAATCCACCCCTGCCCTTTATCCTCCTGGATCCCCGCTCTTTTTCGCCCTCATGTCCCTCTGTTGTTGCATAAACTTGCCTCCACTTCCTCGACTTCTCAGCCGTATCTAGACCCACAGCTAGTTCCCGATTGTCCCTCTCTCAATGTGGCGTGAAATCACATAGTGCAGACCACGCTTCAATATTGGGCATAAATCACAAATATCTGCATCAAGCTCACTGTGACACACTGCTGTAGGGAGGATAACTAGCCCTTTACTCTGCTTTTCTCACTTGTTGCCTCCTAACTACACTGCGGCTGTTTATTGTATAATATTTATGTAGAAAATTTGCATTTAAGCAGAGATTTTCTTTAAAGTGCTGATTTGTTTTTCCTTGTTCCAGAAGAGGAGCTCCCTGGCTTTGTCAGCGGATTCTGATCATGTCCTCCCCATCTCATCGCAGAAGGCCCACTCCTCGTACTCCTCTTCCTCCCAATGGTCTCCTTCCTTCGCTGCTAGCCTGGCTCGCCCGCGGAGCCAAGAGCTCCAGCGCGGCTCCTCAGAGACGGCTGACGAGGAGTCGGGTACCAGCTCACGGTCGGCTTCAGGCCGGGCCGGCGGCAGCAGCCCCACCTTCTCACGCCTCGGCAGCAGCCTGCAGACGCAGGTGGCCCGCAGCGAGCTGAATGTCCGCCTGTCAAGAGGTATGCAAGGGTGCAGAATAATGTTTGGAGCTGGTGTTTGAACCTTTGATTTCTACTCAGATACATGTAGGTTTTAGTTTCAGTTTCCTTTGAACTGCAAGACCTTTTCAGTTTGTTGACATAATGGGATTAGATTACAAATTGAAGGGATAATGATCGTCATCACTGTCATGTTGGAAATGATCCAACACACCTGAGCTGCTGTTTGTTTCTCTAAAAAGGCTGTTATTCAGAAACTGCTGTCATGTTCTAATTTTAGATATTTCTAACTTCTCTACAGATTTCCTTTTATATTTCTTTTAGTGACACTTTAAAAAAAACTACATTTTGTATCCTGCTGCTTCAGGGAAAATAATTACCCATTATCAGGCAGTTTATTCCTCATTTCCTTCAACTTCTCTCACAAACTGGGATTTGAAGAACTGGATCAAAGTGGAGAGAAAAAAACGAGTCTTGGTTGGAGTGAAAATATGAAAATGGAGGAATTATTTTGTAAGAAGTAATTTCTACTCATCATAAATAAAATCCCACCTTATCGCTTCAGAACCCACCTGGTGGGTAAATTGATTACTTTCATTATGTGAAAAATTAAACTGTCCTCCATAAAAAAAGCCTCAGCATCATAAAGGCAGAGGAACACAGCAGGTCGTCAAACTATGCTCCAAGCTTTCAACATCTCACAAAGATCAGCTTAACACTCCATCCACCCACAGACCCTGCAGAACAGAAATGTGTTCCTAGGTTTTAGTTGCTTCAGGAGCTCATTCTGAAAACCTGCTTGGTTTTCTTCCTCCAAGGTTTCGAGCGTCGGCCCATGAAGCACCCATCCTGCCCAGACGGATCAGAGCGAGACACTGGCTCTCCAAAGCCGCCACGCACAGGCACCGTCCCCTCACTGGTGCCCAAACCCCCTTCCTACCCACTGGTCAAACTGGTGGGCAAGTTCTACACCCTGAAGTGCCGGTAAGGAAAACCTGAAGGCCGAATTTGTTAGAGGTGTGTGGATGAGAGTTAAGCGTTATTAGCGACGTTAGACGTTATTAGAGTTCAGCGATGTTACTTCCTCCTCTTCAGTTTTCAGCTGCAGTTTGAGGAGAATTGGAAACCTTTTAGGATCCTCAGACACAAAAAGGGTTTAAAGTCGTAGGGAAGTCATATTTAAATGTCAAATCATTCTGGCTTAACATGTATAGAACTATATTGTCCCAAAATTTAGAAAATGTCAATAAAAAAAAATCCTGTCTTAAAATCTGTGTATTAGGCCAGTTAGTTATACGTCAGCTTGTACATCTAAATTCGGCCAATCATATATCAACCGTCATCTGTCAATCAATTTTTTTTCGGTCATAGGATCTTAGTATCGCTGCTAATATCCGCAATGGTTGAATTAAGAATAATTTCCTTTCCCATTGAGTTCCGTCCCAGTGTTCACGGGGATGGACGTCTGTGTCTTCAGCAGGCGTAGAGCTAACAGAACTGGCAGCGTTGCAAAGCGAGGGCTCAAACATGTACGGCTGGAAGCCTTCTACACCAAACCAAGCTTCTGCCGCCCTGGCGTCCTCTTCCACAACATCTTCGTCACCACTTTCCACCTCTAAATAAAACATGTATGATGGAGGAGACTCATCCATGACCTCCGACACAAAACTCTCCTCCTCTTGCATGTTTCCGCTGTCCATAGCGTTCGTTGACAGTGTCGTTTCCAAGTGACCAATTTAGTGCTACTTGGTCCCAATGGAATTTCCCATTGGGACCAAGTAGCACTAAGTTGCTAACTGGTTAGCAAGATGCTTCCAACAAACCGGCCACAATCAAACATGCTTGTGAGCCTTCCGTCACAGCAGTCCCGCCCTCTTGATAAACAACCAATCACATTCACTTTATTTACTCGTGTAAAGTCGTGCACCACTCGGGAGAATTCAGAAATGGAACGGTTGGAACAGCCGCTTCCCTACGACTTTAAGTTCTGATGCAGCTGCTCTAAAAATGCTCTGAATGATTCAGCAGCCTGACTGAAAGCTGCAGTTTTCCTTTCCTTTTGTCAACCTTTTGTGCTTTTCTCTGTTTTTCCAGGTTCTGCGAGGTGGAGTTCCACGGCCCGCTGTCGGTGCAGGAGGACTGGATCAGACACCTCCAGCAGCACATCTTCAAGATGAACTACAATAAGCCTGGCGCTCTAAAAGCAGCCGCCAACCCCACCCCGGTCCAGGCCTCGGACCCCGGTTCAAGAACCGCCTCCACCCCGACCCGCTCCACCGCCCCCAACAGCCGCTCCCCAACGCCCGTGGCAGAGTTCGCCCCTGCCATAACTGCCAAAGAGATCACCCAGGTCTCAGAGGAGCAGCTCGCCATAATCCCCACTCCCCTTCCTCTCCCGACGCAGACGGTGTGAGCTCCAGCTCCTCCTCCTGTGTCTCTACAGGTCCACCTTTGTTCGTCCATTGCTTTCCTTCCTTTTAACCTTCAGCAAACTTTTAGGGAGGAACTTCCCTTTATCAGAAGAGCACCTTTGAAGCATCTCTAGTGTCCCCAAGTCCAGTTGCCATGGGAACAAAACTCTCCGGGCTCCTCTGAGGTTTGGGGATGGGTGATGATGGTAACTGTCCGAAATACTACTTTGTGTTTGCCTTGTTTATACAGAATGTTCAGGCGTTACTGTACTTCCCCCATTCACTGGGAGGGTAAGAGGCTGTTATTAACCCTTTGTTACTCTTTAACTGCCCCACCCCTTTTAAAGTTCCTGACTGAGATTCTAATCCTGCTTGTCTCACAGTTGAGACTATAAATGTTAGCTGACACCTAGTGTTTATAAAAAGGCACTTTTTTTTATTTCATTTTTTTTATTTGACACTTTCACCCTGCACTTAACGAAACACAATTAGCACCCGTTAAGGTGTAATATTAAAAAAGGAGATAGAAGCACACGTGAGGAGAAATCGCTCCACTTCACCTTTTTTTTTGTGTCTGTAGGCGTGATACAGTCCCCTGATGTAAACGTACATTCAGCTTGAATGTAGCACCTGTTATGACCTCATTTAAACATTAATCCACAAACATGCGGTCCAAAACAAAAGTATACACACCCCTTGAACTTTATTTGTTCCTGATCATTTGTCATTTTAATGCATTTTACAGTCATTGAATGATTTAAATCAGGGGTTCCTAAATAGGACGTAATTCCTGAGGCGTATATAGAGAGCAAATTTATTATGTCATGTCCCTTTAAATAGATTAATACGAGTAAATAAGAAGACGTAACATTTATTTATTAATTTATTTATCTAAAACATGATGCAAATAATAAATTTACCATAAAAATTCTGAAGTGCACAATAATTAACATCCTATTCACATAAAAAAGGGTTTGATTAAATAAAATGTTTTTAAAATAGATTTGTTTAAACATGAATATAACTACTTCCATCTAAATGTATGAATAAATATAATGTATGAATAATTAACCTTTATTTAACCAGGAAAAAAATCCCATTGATATTAAAAACCTCTTTTTCAAGGTAGTCCTGGCCAAGAGGCTAATTCCTGCATTTCGATGTGTTTATTTTTTATTTATTATGTGTCTATTTTTGTCCCGATTATAGGAGCTATCTCTACTTGACTAGTGGTGGAAATTTGTAAAAGGAAAATGAAAAAAAGATGCAATCCTGGCATGAAACTTTGAAAAACTTTTTAAATAAAAAAAAGCTTTTGAGAGGAGCTTTGCTTTTTTATTAGATTTGTTTTCAAATACTATATATTTTTTCAAATTTTAATTAAAAAAACTTTTTTTTTTTTTTAAGTTTTTATATTTCCAAATTTTTATTTTCAAATGCTTCTTTTTTCCGATTAAGTTTTATAAACTGCATTCTTTTAAAATTGTGTTTTAAAGATCACATTCTCTTTACTTTTGGCTTTTTTCTACAGTGAGAAGTGAAGATGCATTTCTATTGGTCTGCAGGGCTAAAAACATTTTTATTGTTATTTTTTTTTATTTGTGAAGAGAATGAAGGTTAAAAAACAGGAAAGTAACTCTCAAAACATGTTTTTTTTTCCTGCAACAATAGTGAAAATTCAAATATTATCTAAAATAATTCATCCCTGAATGTAACTCCAGCTCTGCTATTTAAATTAACTTCATTAAAGTTATACAAATAAAAAAAGTAAAACTAGGGGGAAAAAAGGGGGGTTTCAAGGGGTGTGAATACTTTTCTTTAAGGTACACACGTATCAAAGTCCACACCTTCAACTCTACTGATGCTTGTGCCTCTCTTAGTGCGACTGAAGCTTTTCAGGCTCGTCTCAGTTTGTCCAATCAGTCTTGCCATGTTCTCGCCTTTTTTTCAGTCTAACCCATTATTAGTTAATTTATTTTTTAGCGTCTGAATGTGGGGACGGGCTTCGATTCTTTTTAAAGCTGAAGTATAACGAGCGTTGGGTCATCAGTGTGCGCCTGGGTTAGTTTGTACATTTTTGTACACTCACTACAAACGTGTCCTTTTTGTTGTTTAAGGAAAAGATTCAAGCGAAGCTGCTTGAACGAGAGTTAAAAGGGACTCGTGTGTGAGCCTGTCTGGCTGTGGAGTCTGGTCTGGACTTGAAATTCACCCATGGTTGTGAGGATGTGCCAAAGAGCCCGTTTACTTCCATATCCTGCCTCTGTAAAAGCTGTTTACATTGGACCCGATGGTGAGGAGCCAGCACGCTCGGTGGACGACGGCGGACTCAACCTTTTGTTTTGGCATAAATCCTGCTTCCTAAAAGACTTGATGGGACAAGCGTTACTGTAGGGTTATATTTATTCCACTTGCAAACCAAACACGAGTGAAAAAAGGGGGCGGGGCTTTTGAGATCAGTGGGAAACGTCTGGATCCCGAGGCTGTAATCAGCTCATTTTTATTTTTGACGTTTCCTCTGTTCAGACGTTAGGAGACACTTCAAGGGTCCATCCAGGTTGAGATTTCCAGTGTTTCCCATGCTTAAAACGTGAATGTTTGATCCAAATGATTCCTCAACCCTTTTATGGACTATATATACATAGCTATATAACTACATATACTTAAAGAAACTGCTGGTGCTAATAGAGCCGTCAGCATTTCTGTTAGCAGAGTAGTTCAACAATAAGTGATCTTAAATTCCTTTTATTGTGAGTTGATTTCAACATTTGATGCTTTGTATTTTTATTAATCTGTGTGTTTTACGTACATTTGCAGTCCTGCAGAGGCGAATCTTTGGGTGTTTTTCTTTTCTATTTTTTTGTTTCACCTGTTCCACGCTGAAACTGGGTGGTGGTGGTGGGAAAGGTGGCGACTTATCTTCATGAGATGGTAACACTATGAGACCATAAAGGGGGACCGCTTTGCCAAGTGACGCAGGCTCCTCCTCCTCTAGATTCGGTATGAAGAGGCCCAGAGAGAGAGTACCTGGCAGAGCCTCATCTGGTGTAACTTGCTGTTCTGTGTGCGAGTGTGTGTATGTTTTATGTTTGAATGTTTTACAATAGCAGCTGAGGAACAAACAGTACTGTACACAAAGGGTCATGTTTCAAGTAAATCGACTACAGAACAAACAATAAATGTGATTTCAGATTCAGAACTTGTTCTCCTGTCGTTTGCAAAGAAAACCTTCTTTCTGCTCCTGGGTTTTTTCGAGGG